CGACCCATATGGAGAGCAAGTCCTATTGTTTGGAGTTTTTACAGTTTTGTAGCTAAACCTCCCTTTGTTTTTCTTTACAATGGCATATTTGTCATTTTGGCAGGTATAAGTCCCGCTACTTGGAGCTCCGTCTTATAGTCATATGATAGAGTCTCGTTCCTTTGATCTTAGAGTTACCAAGGTCCCCATGGACAACACAATGCATTGATTGCTGATTGAGGATCTTAGGATGTGTTGGGTTGACTACCTTCACAATTAAGTGGACTTATCATCCTGGTGACTTAGGATGATGGGACTATGGTGTCCGACCTGACAAACTCTATTTGTTAAGGATTACTCCTCCCTTCATTTGACTACAACAAGCCTTGACAATCCCTTTTAAAGTTTCATTAATGTTGTCGTGTAGACCTCAATTGCAGATATGCTACCACCTATTTGGGATATAGTGATTCACTCTCTACCTTTATGGCTTGGTTTGGCTTTGAAAGCATTGTGTGGATCCTATGCGATGACCCAATTATTTCATAGGCCCCAATCGACCGATAGACCACCATTCGTATGGGATCATGAGAGACTCACTCTCAGCTAGTATGGACCGGAGAAAGCTTTGATGACATTGGGATGTTCTTGTAAGATAAATGTCCTTTATGCCCCTTTGCTAGTCATTATACAATTGTAAGAGAGATTACTCTTTAATCGAGAGTTTTCTTGGGCACTCCTCCATATGTAATTAGCCAAAATGATATGTCCTTTTGAGAGTTGCTTTTGACCCCAGAACAAGCAAACAAACTTGAATATCTGGTTATGAGTTATTTAAATAGGTCTTCTTTGCGAATATGTTCAAAGACATTGTCGATCTAATCTCATTTGGATGCACACTCTTGGGTTATCACTCGAAGTTTTCTTCATGAAAGTTCTCCACAAGCCTCTTCTCATTTGTCTTCATTTTTGTATATCTAATCTATTTCGATTTATTTTTTCTTCATATCATTCATATGGTCTATAAGAGAGATTCACTCAAAAATGAGAATTATATGACGATAGACAAGTTGACGACTCATTCAAAAATAAATGAGAAAAAGTAACAAAAATACAAGTATTTATAGATCATGGTACTAACGAGATCAACCACATCTCAACCTTATCTCTAAGTGAGAAAGACAGTAATGCAAGTTTAACATGATCGTTAGATACATCATTATACCTAAAAGTGACATAAAGTAATAGAAAGTTGGTTTAGTGCAAGTTAGGTCTGCTATGGGTGATCCATCAAATTTATTGTTCAAAACTAGTTGGACAATGGTTGGTTTGAGCTCAAAAGATTTTGCTTATACTTAGATAAATTTATTCTACCATTAAGTTGGAGTAATCTCCAAGTGTTCAAGGCATGATATTGGGTCCAAGTATGTTATTCTCTTCCTAAGAAAAGATTGTCATTTCTTCTAAATTCAATTTGTATTTTTTAAGTTTTATTATATTTCTTTTACTGTTTTTTTCATGTCCAATATCTTATACACTAGTTCTGAAGTTCTACTCAAATGCATACACACTAGAACTAACTAGGTAAACCTAAAACTAAACAAATTGCTACACACAAATTATTCAAAATAAGAATGAAACTATTATACGTGCCAAACATCACAATAAAATCACAAGATGTAATATTTTTTTTTATTTTATTAACTGTATAAATAACAACACAATCAATGAAATACACACAACACATTATACAAAATAAAAAAAAATACATGTTTCAAATCTAAACCCCAATTATTTCAACTAAAATTATTCTAAAGTCAATAGTTCAACATCACTCCTCAACAATGATACTAAAACATTGATGTACAAAATGCTATGAAGCATCGACAACCACACATGTATATGTGTTACTCAAGTGATGTACAAATTTGAGTCCATGTATAAATCTAACAGAAAACTTGATAAATTTTCTAGTGGGTTGAAGTTCTAATTTACTAAACCTTCATGTCTAACTATATCTGTTGAAAACTTTTAATTTTGAAACTCTTATAAATTGTAAATAATTAAAACTTATATACATTTTTTAAGTTTTTTCGATTAAGTAAATATAACATACTTCAATTTTCTTCCTATGAATTCCCCACATTATTGTTGAAAATTGGAGAGATCCTCCTTAGCTTCCATTGATGTTATAAGAAGTGTTGAAAATTAGAGAGTATTTATCCATTCATGGTTTTCTATAAATCCTCTAATATCCTATTTAGGTTATATAATCCCTTACTGCATTATGTCTATTATGCAAGATTAATGTGTGTTAACCTACTTGTTCTTTTAGTCAACCATTAAAAATTCTTGATCACAAGTGATATCAACTTTCTAATCGACCAGATTAAAAGTAAATTAAGTCCAGTAAATTATCACATCAATCGCTCACAAATTCCTAATTGGTATATGAAAATTTAGGGAGAGAATATGATTTATCATGTATCAAACACACAAAATTATGAAAAATACTTAGTTACTAAACATGTTAAGAGAAAAGAAAAGAGATTTTATCGAGACACTAAAGTATAAAGAGTTTACACAATAAAAATCTCACTAGTAAAAGAAATTGATTCTCTCCACTGAATCTTCTCTCTTATACAATGATCTCTATCTCTTACACACAGTCAAAACACTAACAAAAATCACTTCAAATCTCGAAACACAATCCCTTGAGTAACAAACATATAAATATGGAGGAATAGGAACTAGATCTTCTGAGTGAGTTCTCCTTTCTCAAAAGTGGTGCCTTCTTCTTTTCCGCCTGACGTGTTATTATCCACGTGTTTACTCTTGAAAAAGCTCTTCCATTGTTTCATTTTAGGTCAATTTAAGTGGTATTGTGAGAAATGACAAGAATAAAACATCCAAAATCATAATCCCTCTCATACGAATGCCTAGGAATTAAATGTTGGTGTGGGGGCACAGATCACGTGCACAGGCTTTAGGTTGCTGACAATGGCTTGTCGGGTCATCAAATTAAAGCATCAAATTAAGAATTTTGTGCAGTGCTTGGGTGTTAGAAACTTGGTGCATATGCACTAGCTTTGGGTGCTTGTGCACTCGATTATGCACTGCCATGTTGAGTACTTGGGTTGAAGTATCAAATTATCTTTCTCCCTAGGCGCTTAAGCGCTGCTTAGGCATTGAATTATATCATTTTAATGTTTCTTCTATAATTTTGTCTCCAGTATTCTTTTGACCTGTATTTCATAAAAAAAATAATAAAAACACATTCCAAAGTGTAAATTTAACATAAATAGGAAACAAAATACAAATTCACATCACATTTTACTCCACTTATACTTCACATCAAAGGTCAATTTATGATTTTTTTGAGTGACTTCTTGAGAAATCTAGCCAAAATCTCAAAGTAATTCATTAAATAACTCATGTGAATTTTTTTTTATCATACACCACTCTCAAGTATTTTATTATCCTAATGACCTCAAAATTTTGCTATATTAGGCTTGTTAGATTCTCTTAATTAGATACTCAATTTAACTATAAGTATAAAAATCATTTGATTATTTAATTAATGTTCCGAAGCATTTAACTACACTTCAAGTGCTTGATTTGAGTTTATTTGAGCTCAAATTAGATAAACTTTGATGTTGTTGGGTTCATCCCATAGTGACATTCAATTTAACATAAAATTGCTAAGATCCGAGCTTGGTTGATCTTGAAATTCACCATAAAACATTTCTCCACAAAATGCATGAAGATTAACGCCAAAATTATAACATAACAACAACAACAACAACAACTGATAATAGCAATAATAATAATAATAA